ATACACACTGTATATACTGTATATACAGTGTGTGAGGTAAATGTGCTGAAAAGATGAAAAAAGTGTTTACATTTCTTTTCTTTATCAGACCTTTCCTATCTAATTGTAGGTATCAGGGAGATTAATCAGCCAACATGAAGAAATTCAGTCATGGAGAGTGATGGAGAAAATGAGATGAGACACTGACAGTTGCATGGGAGCAGTTGGAAAATTAGATTAAATAGATGCATGGAGCAGTAATTTGCAAAATTACCCCCCAGTATTCACATGCCTCTTTCATCTACTGCCGTTGAATGAGTTTCCTGCAATTATCTCTAATAATGGCTTTTTTTCCTCTCCTGTGCCTTTTGTTTTGCCGCTTCTCACAAGTGTGCTTGTTCTGTCGCTCCGCAGGTTTGGATTGAGGCGGCGACGCAGATCTGCTTCTCGCTGGGAGTGGGGTTTGGTGTGCTAATTGCCTTTTCCAGCTACAACAAATTCAGCAACAACTGTTACAGGTAGATGCACGCGGGGACAGGCAGGTGGGGATTCATCAGGGCAGGAGGAGGTGGGGAACTTACCTGCAGTGCAAGCACGCGCGCCACATGAGCAGGTGAATTAGAATAACCTTTGAAGCTTCTCTGAAGCAACTGCGTCTTTGACAGCAAGCTGTGCGACAGAAAGCCGCCACACCAATCAAAACTGTTGCACTTTGAAAAATTGCATGAGGCCACACAAAAGCCTAGCATCACCTCTTTTTAAAAAATTCTTTCAATTAACCCAGTCTGCCTCAAAGATTCATCTGTGGGATTTTTATTTGTAGATTAGCTCAAGATGCTCGAGTTTCCAAAGCAAATATAAGCTTACTTTATATACACTTTAACAAAGTTTCTGTCATGTTGAAACTCTTGAAACTCTTTTTTTTAGGTTTACTGCAACAGAATATAGGCCAGGGTGATGGAAGGGGCCACAGTTATTTGTTGATACCAGAGGGCTACAGATGGCCACATAGTGCTGCACTTACCCAAATGTAATTAAACTGCCATTTAAAAATGTGTGTATATAGGTTTATTAAACCAACATACAGTGCAGTAACTTCAACAATTTCATGCTTTATGAGATGTGGGGGGTTGGGTTGGTCGGAGCAGCAATCCTGACCACCATAGACCAACCCACCAACCAAACCCACTGATCAACATGGGTCAGGCAGAAGTCACCGGCAGGCCACATATGGCTAACAATGACAACTGCTACATACCACATTAATAACAGACAGAAAAAAATAATAGAAAAAAAAATAACCATGTAAAAGGAAAAGGCCTTGACCCAGTTATGCAGGTCCAATGTACTCATTTTTTAAAAGAAAATAGTTTTTTTATTAAAATACTTGAAAACCCTTAGTGTGCCAATAGTTGCTGAAAACATACAAACTGAAAACAACCTGTTTATTCTCACTTGAGTATTTGTTTCACATTAATACCACAAACATACAGTTTTTGTCAGTGAACATGTTGCTGCAGTGGCTGGACATGAAAAAAGTAGACAAGTATTTGATTATTAACATGTATTGCTAATACAACACCATAATAAAAAGTCAATCCCACGGATTTCTCAAACCATGAAAAATATGTATAAAACAAAGAGTAATATCTAATGCCTTTCTATTTTGTTTTGTCCAGAGATGCCATCATAACCAGCTCCATCAACTCTTTAACCAGTTTCTTTTCCGGATTTGTGGTCTTCTCCTTCCTTGGGTACATGTCCTACAAACACAATGTCGCTATAGATAAAGTCGCCAGAGATGGTAAAATATAATGAAAGCTGTCCTTGCATCTTCTTACATGTTATAAATAAGAAATCTAAAATGTGTTTTTTTAATTTTGTTTTTTGATCAGTCTGTCTAAAGGTTATAGTGCAGTATGTCTGTCATGCTGCTGTTTACTTTTAWTGTGTTCTTCAGGTGCCGGGTTGGTGTTCGTCATTTATCCTGAAGCTATAGCAACATTACCCGGATCATCAGTGTGGGCTGTTATTTTTTTCATCATGCTGTTGACACTCGGACTCGACAGCGCTGTAAGTACAAACCAACACATTCACCAACAGTTTCACCTCTCAGTTAAGCAACTATGGATTTTAGTTTTGGAACAAAACACTGGGGTGTCACATTTTACTGTTCAAAAAATCTCAAACAAAACTTTATGGTAAAAAAGCTTTTTTTATCAGAAATCTTCTTTATTTCTCATGCAAGCAGACATTATATTTTTAAACTGTTTCTGACTCTCTTATTTCCTGCCTCAGATGGGTGGGATGGAGTCGGTGATCACAGGTCTGATCGATGAATTTAAATTCCTTCACAAGCACAGAGAGCTGTTCACTCTCTTCATTGTTGTTGCCACGTTTCTCATTTCCCTCTTCTGTGTTACAAGTGTAAGTAACTGTCATCCAGGGGAGACTGTTGCATTGCATATTAGTCGTGTTTGTTTAAAGGTGTGCAGTTAAACTGCAGGGACTTCAAACTAGTGTGAATAAATTTGGATAAAAATAAATTTCATTATCCATCTTAGAAACAAAAAACATCTAAAGATGTAATCAACCTCACAAATTGATTTATTCACATTTTGTCTTTATTTTTATTTGATTTTTATTTGATTTTTGCATAGTGAAACCACAAATTGACTTTGTTTACTTTCAGGGAGGGATGTATGTGTTTACGCTGCTGGATCACTTTGCTGCAGGAACATCGATTCTCTTTGGAGTGCTTATTGAAGCCATTGGCATTGCATGGTTCTACGGTGAGAAAGCTGGACCAAAGAATAGAGCGGAGAAAAACACTTGATACATTTTTATTTTTTATGCCATGGCCAGCAAAGCTGATGCTTTATTAAGGGTCTGATGAGAAATCTGTGTTCTGTGCTACAATAAAACAAATGTCGATTAGAGATAAATAATAAAAAAAATCCACCAGCTGGAAGGAATATTTCCAGTAATAGTGTTGGCCTCTTGAGTGTATGCCCTAGAAGTCAGTGCAGGGATTGTTGGGATACAGTGATATGGGGCTCATAAAATGAAAAAAAAAAAGGGTAAAAATATTTGATATTTTGTTCTCTTTTTGCTCACTCAGCAACCAGACAGCAAAGAGAGAAAAAAATACAGCTGAAGAAGAAGCACCTTCAATCCCATGTAGACAACTAGATAGGTATAATTTTTATAGACCCAGTTTGCTTTAAAAATCTTAAATTTTCAAAACATTTTATGTGATATCTCTTGTAAAAAAAACGGCAATTTAAAACCAGTAAAGTCCTAATTAGATTAAATACATGTTTTATGGTCTAAACTTGACTGAACTACATGAAAGAAATATTTTAGTTCTAGTGGTGGGAAAGACAGAACTTAAGGTCTGGAAGAAGATGTTTTACATCTACTAAACCTGACTGTGGAAAGGTGAATGTAAGACTAAATTCTCAGAAGACTCCAAGCAAAATGGTCAATGGTCAACATATTGCCTCACTTTTATGGGTCCTGACCTTGGCAAGTCAGATAAATCAAGCCTGAGGCCTCAGCAGGCTTTTGTTGGTCTTTTTCTTTTTTAAACCGTCCTTATAAGCGCTGACAGGAACCGTTGACCCCTGACTACTGCTGTCTTTTGTTCTGCTGTCCACTTCTTTGGTACATTTAGTTTTGCTGGATACCTGATGGTCAAACTAGATGTATTTATCTGTAATGAGAAATGCCCTCTGGACAAAAAGGTATTTGGCAAAACTGAACTAATAGGGGGAAAAGAAAAGTATCTCTTCAAATATCTTCAGATCTTAAACTGGGATTTGTAGCATAGCTACTTCTACTAGTATGACTTGTATCACATTACTGTGCAAAAATATTGAGTAATCTATTGAAGAGAAATATTCAGATTGGTAGCCAGAATAATACACAAAACAATTATTAAGTTCTCATTTAAATATTTATTTACAGATCTATAGACTCCATTTCACTTCAAGCCTCTGTGACTTTAAAATCCAGACAATGTCGCCCCCAATCACAAGTTCAAACCATCCTCACGTCACTTGGGGTGGTCCCTTATGTCAGTATTGGAATGTTGGAATGTAAACTATTACGTTTAACCTTCTGAAGCAAGGCACATATTAAAAAGAGACTTCAGAATCAGTTTATTATTGCCATTGTCAATGAGCAGGATTAGAAGACTAGGAATTTGTTTGTTTTTAAAGATGCAAATAAGTATAAAATGTAATATATATATATACTGTATATTTTTGACAAATGTTCTTCCCGACAACCTGGCTCAAATTTGCAACCTCAGGATTGCAAGAGTTTGGTACTGACCACCAAGTTGTCACAACCCTCAAACCAGCATTTATTTAGACCTTTAGAATTGTACTTGCATATCAATTTCCTTNGGATAAAAATATAAAGACATGTGAACACCAATTCAATACAATACTCAGAAAAAAACAATGTAGTTGTAGTGCAATTAAAATCCAGTAATGAAGTGACTGAGACAGAGTTATGAAGTAACATGATTCTAAGTGTTTGAGTCTGATGGCTTGTTGATTATATTACAGTTTAAATTAAAAGACTTCAATCAATCACAAATTATAAGATATAAGACTATCAAAAATTATAATCAACCACAAAGTATCCAAAAATCAATTGTCTCCATCAAAATTTAAGGGTTCTTTGAGCATTTAATTCACTTTCTGTCCTCTGCCTGGGGATTTGTGGGATTTCATGAGTTCATAATATTTTTGGTGAAACCCCTCAGAGCAAAATATCTGAATTATTATAAAAAAGGTTGTGTGTATGCATATCAGAGAATAAAATGCAACTGGGTTATTTATAAACATTGTTACCAAGATGCAGTTTGTTCCAATTTTATCCATTTATCCATTTTTTTTTACCCACTGCTTCCTTTCAGGGTCACAGGGTTTACTGGAGCTAATGTCCAACCATCACCGTACGAGTGGTGTACACCCTGGACAGGTCAAAAGTCAATCAAAATGCTCCAATTCCTTCAGTTGATTTTAAATTTGAAATAATAATAATTACAACACAGTTTAATTTATAATGTGTTATTTTAGCATCAATAAGGAGAACCTCAATTAGGAATTACTTGAAAACTTGTCAGATGGTCAACCAAAGGATGATTTATCTCAGATTCTGTTTCAGGTCTTCACTGGATTTGTTCCATTTTTTAAAGTCATGGCTTCAAAGCAAAGCTTATTTTTGTTCTCAACTTGCTTACCTTTTTTTAATTTTCACCTAATCCACCTCTGCACAACATGCTGCAACAGTCATATGCAGGGATTGGACAGAAAGTGTGTAAAATTAGCCATCCAAAGAAGACCACGTCAAACAGATACTAAAGTTTTGCTGCTTTGAAGATAGTTTAAAAAGGTTTAAAAGTTTTGGACTATGCTGTACAATGGATGGGATCTTTTGAATACCCAATAGTTTAAAATGGTGGAAGGAAAAAACAAACATTGAATACTTTGATGCTGCTGGGTCTGAATACTTTTACTTTTGTACTTTTTACGTAACAGAAGGAGTTGTTGTTATTCAGACATCATCCTCACATGACCCATGTTTTTAGTAACCATAACAAGACATTACAGAGATTTTTTTGTGCTTTAGGAGTGGATCGATTTAGTGATGACATTAAGGAGATGATTGGCCATCGACCAGGCATATACTGGAGGCTGTGCTGGAAGTTTGTCAGCCCCTGTTTCCTCTTGGTGAGTCCCAGACACACCAAACACAAAAAAAGATAAGAGAAGCTTGCATGGTGGCAAAACTGTAAGCTTTTTCTAACTCAAATATTTTTCACAGGTGGCAACTAAAAGGACATCCTATTTTAGAAACACTTGGTGTTTTGTTTTTGTTTTTTAATAATTTATTTGACAAAATTACTAAAAGTACATTGTATGTCTTACTATCTTTCCTCAGTTTATGGTTGTGGTGAGCTTTGCCACGTTCAACCCTCCAAACTATGGCTCCTACAAGTTTCCTCCATGGGCTAATCTGATGGGGTGGTGTCTGGCCATGTCCTCAATGACCATGGTGCCACTCTACGCCATCTACAAACTCTGCACGTTGCCTGGAAAGTTTTGCAATGTAAGTCAAAACAGCGTTTACAACAAAAAGTTTGAAAAATAATAGCCAAAACTGTTTGTATTTTGCCATTAAAATGGTTTATTGCTTGATGAGCGGCTCTAATCACTGCTTTTTAACAGCGACTTGCTTACGCCATCACCCCTGAGACAGAGCACCATCTGGTAGAAAATGGGGAGGTTCGGCAGTTCACTGTAAGTGTCCCTTGATCATTATATTTCTGCACCTTTTGACACCTCACAAGGTTTTGTATACTTAGCACAAAATGCAAGGAAATTAGTGTTTCGTATCTGATTGGTACAACCAGGTGCTGCCAATCAGGTGCCTGGTATAAGATTTATTCCCAAGAAGAATCGATACGACAAAGAAACAATCTAACAAACACAAATATTCTTACTTTTTTTGTGCCAAGTTTATAAGTGCTGTATTTGTTTACTTCTGCTTTATTTCCTTTTAACACATTCGGAACTTTTCAAGTTGGGTTCTGTAGAAAGGTCACAAACAGTTAATATCATACCTGTAGTGTTGAGCGGTATTACCAAAAATTTATATCAATGTATATTTAACAATTATCTGTATTATTGAAATTTTTTTCCCCATCACTGATCGGGCTGATGTTAAAATGTACAAATGCTGATTATTGATCAACAAAGTGCTGTCACTTGAAGTTATTCTCTTTCTGCAACACAAACTATTTCTTGGCTTTTTTCTTTCTCTGTCTGTGTCACATTTCCCCTCCTTTGTCTTTTCTTCCTTTCCTGGTTGTAGACATTAGTCGTGCATTCTGGGCTTATGTTACATTAGCAGTGAGGGGAGGCAGGTACAATCATGAATGGGAAAGATTGAGCAAAGGTCACTATCAGGCAAATTTACTTCAAACATGAAGTCTATCTTTGCACATCTGTGAATAGGTGTATTCTACAAACAGCAATGACAAGACGTGGAGTTTTTTGTCAGCCGATGTCAAAAACAAAATTGCCACCTGCCGCCCATTATTGAGAAGGCTGATTCCACTCTAGCTTGTCCTGTGTGCTGCTATGTCCTGCATGCATGTTCAGCGGTGCTACATGGAAAAGTGTCCCCCTTGAAACAGCTTATTGGCAGACGTGACATAACATTTCAAATGTGGTCAGGTTTTTAAACCAGTACGCTGCATTTGGAAAGTTCATATCATTACAAAAATAAAAAATCAGTTTTTGGTACAAACCGGTATACTTCCCAGGTCTACTTACCTGTTGTAGTTAGATCTTCTCATGCAAAAATACAGTTTAATTCTGGATGGATTGATGAGCTAACAGCTTTTCCAAATGGGGCAAAGATTACTTTTTATTTTAAAATGGTTTTAATCTTAAATTTGATAGTTTATGTTAATACTACAGTAATTATATTCCTTTATGTCCATTTTTAGTGCATCTTTAATTACATAGAATTTCATAGAAATAATGTTGGGGTGTTTTATAGTAATGTAATATATGTTTTTGCTAAAAAAGTCTGTATAACACAAAATAAACAATTGTGTAAATGTTTAGAAAGTTATTTTGTATAAAGCACTAAAACACATTAGCAACAGGAGTTAGAAGGCTGAAACTGTCCACTTTTGTTATGAGTTTAATCTGACTAGCTCTTATCAGTCTGGTCATTAAATTATTTTCCTCTAATGTGAGGTTAATTGTTAAGCTATCTACAAAAGGTAAGCAGTTATTTACCTGTCACCTTTCCACAGAACCCAATGGGGTGCCAAGTGTAAAATAAAATGTAAAAAAAAGTCGCTAACATATTTGCTTTATTGCTTTATTTTACACTTGGCACGCTATAGAACCATGATTTAAAAGAGTTTAATGTTATTGCTTTGATTTTTGGAGCTTTTCAGCATTTTATTTCATGAGCATCCTGCTTTTTTGTTTGTTTCACAGCTGCATCACTGGCTGGTCATCTGAAAACTACAGAAAAAAAACTTTTTAAAGCGCAAAAAGAAAGAATGTCAGAATGTTTGCTTTGTGGATGAATGCAGGAGCAACAATTGTCTAAGGTCAGCCATTTCAAAGAATCACAAGGAAAATAATGGGAGGGGAAGTTTAAAAGTGCCAACAAAAGGAAAAAAATATAAAAAAGTTAAAAATACACTGAAAATATAGTCCTATTTAATTTTGACTGTGTGTGTGTATTAAATTGTGTACTGGCTCTTTCTTCACAAGCCGGTGAATGGTATTCAATCAGACATTACTTTTGATGTGTAGCTTGATTTATCCATAAATGCGAATGTCCCTGAACACTTTTCATGGTAGTTTTAGCCTTCAAGGCCAATGTTTCTTATATTTTCATGCAGTTAAATCAATAAGCGATGAGAGCTGCAGGTGAATGAACACAGAGAGGTTTAATGTACTTTGTGTCAAGTGCAAATTGGCTCAAATTTAAAATGGAAGCAACAAAATCAAACTTCTCACAATGCTGAGGTGCTACACGTCCCACCCCTATTTCATTTTTGCTTGCTGTTAAACTGAAAACTGTAGGTAGGCTTCATATTTTTATTTCAACACTGTGTGTCAATATTTTGCTGGCAGAGTTGATTGAAAAAACTCAAATGTGACAATTACCACAAACATTGCTGAGTCCCAGTCCAGTGTCATTTTTTTCAGGAGACTGTTATGATGTTAAAGCACAGTAAATGTTTCTGCAAAACAATTCATTGTGTTGACATCAAAATGAATGCCATTTAAAAAAAACTGTCTATTTGCCAACATCAAAAAACATGTTGAATCATAAATAAAAAGAGAACTAACAGTTAATATTAACTTAAAAAAACAACCATGGAGCCCAATAAAGACCACGAGAAAACTTTAAGAACGTGAGTGATAGCTGTTCATGTTAACTTGTGATTTACTTGTGGCTTGCATTTCCTCTGATCTCAAAGACTGTGTAATAATGTGTTGCAATAACCTGCTTGTGGCTATTGCGCAAGGGACATCGTGCCCTCAGCTCTGGCTGCTCATGTCCTTGTCTTTGTGCAGTGATGGGTTTGCTGGCTGAAGCCACGGTTTTACCTGAAATCCTGGTTTCATCTGTGCTGCATCCATCACAGAAGCACCACAGGTTTTTTAAGCAGCTGACCACAGAGCCCTTGAATCTCCGTTCATAACTTTACTTATCACAGACGGGTAGAACAACAGCAGCAGGTGGATACTTATTAATGGTGGGACTTAAAAAGAGTAATGAGCACTGTAAATAAAATATCTGGAGACTGTCATCATGACCAGAGCAGTCTAAGATCTATTACTAATATAATGCAGAGAAAATCCATTTCTTTATCTGATTTTACTTTTTGGGTCGCAAGGACATGGTGCTGTCACTGTGCTAGATCAACCTGGACATGTCACAAATCCATCACAGACACAAACGAGACAAACCCATCACACTCTCACTCACACCAAGGGATAATCTGGAGGCAGCAATTAACTGAACATGCATGTTTTTGCTCTGTGAATGGAAACCGTAGTACCCAGAAGAAAATGCATGCATGCACGGCAAATAAGGCAAACTGCTCACAGAAAAGCAGGGAAAAAACTACTTTCCCGCAATGCCACTTGAGCATAGCAATTTTAAAGAATATTAGGAACTTAAAGCAGTATTTCTAAATATTTGAAGTAATTGTACAGGGAAAAAAAGTATTATGAACAATTAGTATCCTGCTTTCTGTAGATATCGGAGCTACTAACAGGTTCAGTTTGGAGAAACACAGTTTAATTCTGACTGGGTTGATCAAATAATGACTTTTCACAGTGAGGCCAAGCCAAAGTAGACTGCTATTGTCCTAAAGCAGCTCCAGTTGAAATGGTTTCACGTCATAAATTCACTCTTAGTTTAACATCACACAACTATTTCTGAATAAATAGGATATCCCTACCTGACATGATGAAGCTAGTTGCTGCTGTTGCTAGTTGTCCTTACAAACAAGCATGTCATTTTATTAAATAACTATAAAGTTAAACTAAAGGTGATTTAAAAGAGAAAAATAATAGAACTTTTGAAGATTTGAGTAGTTTTAAGGGTAGAAACACATTTCACAGCCTTGGTACTTACAGAGTACTGTATATACCCAGTACCAACAGAGTATGTTCTGGACACTTACTTGGTACTTACTGAATAAATAACAGGTATAACCATGTCACTTCCTGATACAGCTCGGTCCCTGTAGGTGCCCTATTAGTTCCCCCCATAAGATCAAGGTATCAAATACATAACTTGTAAGTACAGGGTTACAAGTCACTTTAAAATACAACTTCATCTCCATAGATGCCCAAATAGTACCAGTTTTGTTCACATCCCAGTAAGTACCTTGTAAGTGTCACTATAAGTACCCTGTAGATAAGAGGTACATACTGTACCTTGTATGTACCAAGTCGTCTGGTAAGTATTACCAGATACATATTGAGTAATTATCAGGTATGAACCCAGTATAATGTACTGTTATGGCTATAAGAATATATATCCAGTTGGAGCTCAGACCATATTTGACAAGCAGTCAGCTCATTAATCCAGTCAGAAGTACATTTTATTTCTCTAAAGAGCTTTGTTTTTTTTTTCAAAAAGCTATTTATAAAAAAGTAATATTTTTTTAACTTTTCCATCCATCTACACTTCAAAAGATTCAAACTATCCCCTAAACATGAAAGTCCAACACATGATGCCTTGTTGGTTGAGCCCCTCAGATTTTTCGTCTTGGTCTCCTACATACAATGATTTTAGATAGGGTTTGAAAAAGGGCTTGTACTTTTAAAGAAACATTTTAAAATGTTTGGATGAATCAACTGTTCGTCTTCTTTTGTCACAAGTAAACTTTGGCCATTCTGATTACTGAAGCACTACCAGCAGAGCTGGTTATAACAGAAGCCAGGAAGTAGCAGAAAATCTCTTTACAACCAGGGGAATGTTCCAATTTTAGTGATTCTCCAGTATTACATTGGTCTGCTTTAGTAATATGTTGTTGTTAGGTATCCCCTCATCTGGTTGGAAGTAAAAATCTTAATTTATCTGATAAAAACATCAATAACAAAAAACTGTATGCTTTTTAGTTTAGAATGCAGATAACTGAAAGTGTGGCAAGGCCAATTTCTTGGAGCTGTTATCTCATGTCTTTGGTGAACTCCAACTCTGTCTTGAAGTCAGTAAAAGTAATCCCCAAATCATTCTCACTTTGACCTTTTGGGTGTCTCTTTGTAAAACGGTATCAGCCCTACTGTTCAACCAAAGAACCAACAAGTTCAAATCCTCAATTGAGAACATTTTGCCAAGGATCTTTGCTTCTCATGGACATTCAGATTTTCTTGGTTAACCCACTTATGGAAGCTTTGGCTGTAACACATTATTTAGAAGGCACTGAGCTTTAATTTTTACAGTTTCTGCAAACCTGATCTATAATTTAAGACTGTTTAAAAAGCTGCTTTATAATCAAACTGCAAATAAATAGTGTGTAATGTAATAAAATAAGTAACTTAAATGATATATCTGTGTAAGTAAATGTAATGTAGAGGAACTTGTATTGTACTGTACTGTAACATATTGAATTATATATAGATAGATATTAGCCTTAAGGAGCTTGATGAGAATAATATGAAAATCTATGATAGTTTATGTATTTTCTTTAAGTTTTATTTTTTCTTCCTGTTTAACCAGAAACTACCAGGTCAGCAATGGCTTATTTGTTCCCCTTGTGGTACATGTAACATACTGATGGGTTAACTGTGTCCCAAGTCTGTGTATGCCTGTGCTGCTGTCCTGTGCCAGGTGGTGTTTCTGATTTTGTTTTGTACTGTCACATAAAACATAAAAAAATAAAACTGTTAAATTTAAAATCCTCCTCTGTGCTTTTTGTTAAATAAAATACTGCTTAATTTCCTGTTTTTATCAATTAAAAATAAAATCTACTGAAACCTTACAGCTGCATATACGTGTATTTCATACTTGCAACTATTTGATTAAACCAGATTTTTGTTAACAGTGAGTGAATTGTCTTTTAGTGCCCTATCTATCTATCTATCTATCTATCTATCTATCTATCTATCTATCTATCTATCTATCTATCTATCTATCTATCTATCTATCTATCTATCTATC